AGGGGGAAAAAAAAGAGGTGGGGGAGGGTGAGTCAAAACCCTGTTTTATTTTGGAAATAAAGGGGGTGGGGTGGGGGATAATTTAGGACTATAATTTATACTTGTTTGGAGGGTAAAAAAACAAAGTGAGTTGAAAACCTGGTTTTCCTCTAGGGTGAGTTGAAAACCTGGTTTATTTTGGAAGAAAAGGGGGTGGGGTGGGGGATAATTTATACTTGTTTGGAGGGTAAAAAAACAAAGTGAGTTGAAAACCTGGTTTTCCTATACTACTGTATAGTGTTTTGCGTCTGAAATTTCGATTGGAACATTTGGAATAATCATAACACTAAGTTTAAGTTTTATAGCTAGATAGATCTGTCCAAGTTTTGGTTTTTGACGGGTTGCCTAAATTTTATAAACATCAATAGCCCATATCGTGTGGTGCCCTCCTTCTCCCACAGCCGACACTGTCGACTTAATTTTACCCTGCGGACAGATGTTAGCAGGAGAATTCTTTTCGGACCGATTGCATTCTTTGATCACTTGCCTAGGATTGGCCAGTTCTCGGTACAAAGGGCAGTCCATCTGGTTTGGTGAACATGATCAAATCTTAGGTCAGTGGTCAATGGTCGTCAGACTGTTATCAGTTCGTATGCATCTTGTATATCCCTATAACTCAATGTAACCTAAATTAAAAGATCTTCAATAATTAAATAAAATACAGGGATTAAGTGTAAACACAGATACCCTTATATACATCTTTTTCCTTTACACCGTGTTGGGCTCTAATCATTAGGGATTACTACCATCTCGTCTCTTTATGCGTGGGTTCATGTCTTGGGCTCGGCCAATATCGATATGCGAGAAAGTTTGTAGTAGCTTCCCGTGAATCAGTGGCTTGTTCAGGGTTTTTATCCGGGTTCTACATCCACTACTTATATTTGCTGTCATAATATGACGGTCATATATAGACTATGAAACAGACTTGTTTAATTGATATTTCCTGATCTTATGACCCTCCAATCTCTCTCTCTCTCTCTCTCTCTCTCTCTCTCTCTCTCTCTCTCTCTCTCTCTCTCTCTCTCTCTCTCTATATATATATATATATATATATATATATATATATATATATATATATATATAGATGCAATAAACTGACGACGAACAGTACGAAACTAGTAACTAACTAGCCTAAGCGCTTTCGACTCTTAATGAGTCTTTTTCAAAGGCAAATACAGAACATATATACGATAAACAAATAAACACAAAAACGTTGTGTTTGTAAACCTCTACATGGCTGTCTTCACATGTGCTAAAGCTATAAATACAACCAGCTTGTATAGACTAGATGCGGAAACTGAAAACGTTGTATAAATTCCCTAAAAGTCTACAAGCCAAAGCGACATCTATTTTTACTTTTTGTACATATGTAACGCAGATGTAAAGAAAAACTAAACATACATGGTCCAAACAAAACGTGCAAAACAGAGAATGTGATTTATCTCATCACATGTAAGATCTGTGGCCTTCAGTACGTCGCAGAAACTGAAAAGCTACACAAAAGGATAAACCTTCATAGATCTGATTGGATGACAAAAAAGCTGTACAGAAGCCCGGTCGCAGAACACTTCTCCTCCCCTGGCCACACTTTCAGTGATATAATACTTATCGCTATTGCTAACAACCACAGCTGGAGTTCCGAAACCAGGAAGGAAAAGGAATCATACTGGATACGCCGCCTTAGAACATTGAAACCAAGCGGTCTAAACCAAGAAGACTAGAAAATGAAAATTATGCACTAGTGAAATTTAACATTTTCTAAATCTTCTTATTATCCTTCAATTTTTACTATAAGAATAACCGGTATAGAATCAAATATCCGGGATATAATCTGCGTTACATATGTACAAAAAGTAAAAATAGATGTCGCTTTGTCTTGTAGACTTTTAGGGAATTATACAACGTTTTCAGTTTCCGCATCTATTCTTTACAAGCTGGTTGTATTTATAGCTTTAGCACATGTGAAGACAGCCATGTAGAGGTTTACAAACACAACGTTTTTGTATTTGTTTATCGTATATATGTTTTGTATTTGCCTTTGAAAAAGACTCATTAAGAGTCGAAAGCGCTTAGGCTAGTTAGTTACTAGTTTCGTACTGTTCGTCGTCAGTTTATTGCATCTATTTTAATTAACCCCTGACACACGTGATCCCTTGGTGGATCCAGTACGTTTGAAAGGGTTGTTATTCGCCATATGATTTGTATTCTTTATATATATATATATATATATATATATATATATATATATATATATATATATATATATATATATATATATATTACTTTTTCCAGCTGTACTTAGAAGATCACCATATAATTTGTCAAAAAAAAGTTAGCGAGGTTCAATAGACGTATTGACAGCTAAACAGTTTTCTTGTTTTGTTTTTAATTCTGTAACACTTATTTCGGTATATAGTTTTGCATTCTGACATTTAACTCGGTTCACTGCAAGAAATAGATTCTAGATTCACATCATGAGTCTTAATTCATTGACTTCATTTGGAGGTGTAAAAGTAGTTATATAAAAACAAAATCCGTACATGATGTGACCTTTTCAAGTATATTTCTCGTGATCAGTATCTAACCCATATCCTATTGAATAGACCAGTTTTTGGAGAGGTGATATAAAATTATCATGAGTTTAGCGTCAATTTAGTAAAAGGTAATGCATCTTTATTCATAAATTCAAAAAGCGGATAGGATGAAGGTGTGGTAAAAGTTAATAGTATTGTTGAGGGATAACAGTCGAGAGAAAACAGGTGTGAGTTGTTGATTTGAAACATAAAACAGATGTAATCCAATGTTTCAGAATAAAGCTTATGGATTACTTTAAATGATGATACTTTAAATATCACCAACATCTGCGTCGATAACAGGATGGTCATTAAAATCAGCAACATCTGCCTTGATAAAAGTTCAAAATGTTCAAAATAGTATGTTCAAAACAGTGCAGTATGAGGGAATACATTATGTATTGATCAATTAAGTAAATGGATTTCTATGCAATTAAATTTACACTACAACGTAAAGATCTCGTGAAATTCACAAAGCTTGAAACTATTCGAAAAAGCAGAACGTATAAAAATTAATGTTACGGTTAAACAGATCATGGCGGCTAATTACTTCGGCACATAGCTTAGATTCAACCAAATGATTAACAAAATATGATATAAAATTTGAATGACTGTTACGTTTGAAAGGATTGAAGCTCGTTTAAAATTGCTGTAAAGTTAGATCGTAATGACTCATAAATCCAGTTGTTTGTTAAAAGCTAGAAGAGTTGAAGCAAGATTGTTGAAACTAAACAGATGAAAGGCAACACGTATTTATTATTGAAATGGAATAAATCGTTGGTAGCAGCTGAAAAAAATAATATGTTAAAAGTGACGAGTCTATGAAAAACAATTTTCCTATGGTGACGATGTTTCCAGAATGTACCTTTTTTTGCCTGAAATGACTAAAGAAGTGTTTTGAGAGAGAGAGAGAGAGAGAGAGAGAGAGAGAGAGAGAGAGAGAGAGAGAGAGAGAGAGAGAGAGAGAGAGAGAGAGAGAGAGAGAGAGGGAGGACTATGCTATTTTTTATTTTAAATGTAGCTGATGTGGAAGAAACAATGCAATAAAAATTATTAAGTTAAACAAGCATGCTATGAGAAACGTCAGGGGAAAAAGGTTCATACACAAACATTGCAGATAAATAACATAGTGACAAACATTACAAACATGATAAAGATGCCACAGTCCATAGCATAGTAATACATTAAATTACGGAAGAAATAAAAACAAATGACAATTTTTGAAAAGATAATGCTGATTTCAAATACATCTTTGCAAACAGAACATCAGAAACAACGAGCAAGGTCACAAGCTAGTCTACGAGAACTAAATAATAAAAAATGAAAAACATATAGGAATTGGTGCAACCAATGAGGTATTTAAACTTAATTCGAATTTAATTTCAAGATTTGTATGTATTTTGCCTGGATTATACTTTTATCATTTAAAATTTTAACACATTTAATAAGCCTTCTGTTGCCTAGAATTTGCAAAAAGATCTATCAGGCTTTCAATCAATACTTGAGTTTGCAACATGTTGTAAATGCAATAAATAGAGTTTCAACTTAACAATGCAATACAATACAATGGTATTATGGTGGAGATAATGAATTAGAGAAGGAATATTTTAAAAGCTAGAAAAATATGCTAAGCGTATACTAAAGCCAGTGTACGCTGATCTCGTGATTTTAAGTAATGACCCCTTCAGATTAAGAAATAAAAAAAGAAGGTCAAGCAATTTCTTTTAACGCAATAAACTGGTTTACATAACAATATATTTCAAAGACATTAAAACGTTGTATATTGTAACTAAATTTATACACAAAAAACAACTTCTAAATTGTTTGCAAATACGCTTTATAAATCGATAGCGATGGCTTTAGTGAAAGACACAATATTAGAAGGCAAACGTGTTTTCTCATATTAGTATGTTATTTTCTTATTTATTTCCAGATAACAAAATTTCTGTATGAATGTAAAAGAAATTCAAATAATATACACAAAAACACCAACGCCATAGCGTTAGCAAATCAATTTGATCTCTCGATAATCGTCCACCTGGAAGCATATGCTTTTATACGTATGATGCCATGGCATTCATCTTTAGTACCGCTGCTATTCTGGAGTCAGATTTTGTCATTCGATATTGTGTGTATGTGTTTGTGTGTGTCTGTGTGTGCGTGTGTGTGTATGAGAGAGATCTGTATTGTTTTAAAGTAGCTTTAACAATTTTTCAGTCATATCAGTACGATATCTGCAGTGTGGCAGTTTTCACAGACATGTAACATTGTCCCATCCAGTCACATTATCCTGCTACCAGGTCTACCAGTCTAACTCTAACACTAACCTCTTAATTCTGAGCGCCTAGCGAGTCATCTGTTAGCACCATTTTTTTTGAGATTTTGGTATAACTCAGCCGGGGTTCGAACCCGTGACCTCCCGCATATAAGAAACACCACGCTCTAACCACTAGGCCACAGAAGCAGTCGTCGTTCGGTATTACCAAATTTCGGATAAACTGACAAACAGTTCTTTAATAACATATGTCAAGATAGGTAAATAGATCATTATAATGATTTTGGAAGCAAAAATGAATATCAACAAAGATAGAATCGTAATGTCTGGAGACTGACAACGAAGGAAACATTTGTTGAATATTTGAGATGCATCTCAAAAATTAAACTTACTCCGAGTTAAAATTATGCATTAAATGTTTGCATAAAACGAGATATTCTTAGGTTTGGATAGTGAGAATGTTACACAGACATCTACTGACGAAACAGAATTGTTCGTGGGGTTTATAATTTATCTAGCCCAAAGAAAGAAAACACTAATACACTGATAAATATCATTACTGTTTGACATGTTATTCACGGTTACCTTCTTTCTGACAAATATTAACAGTCATTACAAACCATTACAATGAGTACATTAAACACACTCAATATCAGACTTATATGATATATAGTTTGTTGTGTTAAATAGGTGTTACGTGTCTAGGCTCGTACAAAATGCAACAAGAAAAGTGTGAAGACAACCAGCTTTGTAAAATTAAACAAATAATTTATTTCCTTAGAAAAACAAGGTAAAAATGAGAAAAAGGACTTACGGTTTACGAATCAAATCCAAAATAAAAAACATCAAAGAATTAAAAAATATACGTCCTATCAATAAAAAGTCCTAAGTGAATGACAGTTAGAATTCCGATGAAATTCAAGATGGAAGCTATGACATCTTCGATAACCTTCATAGTGTTGCTGTGTCAAAAGTTCCTTGTTGAATCACACAAAATAATATTCCAGTGTAGCATTTCTGAATAAATTTTGATAAACGTCTTTGTCCAAGAAGTTTGATGTTGACCAGAATTTTCAAGGGTAAATAATTACTAATTCGAAAAAAACCCAGAAAATTTCAACTCAAACTATTCCCAACAAAACACCTTTGAGTTTCAAAGGTTTAAAGCACAACTGGCAAATTATTATGATAACATGATTTATAAGCCCGACTAAAACGCAAAACAGGTTCCGGGATATCGGTAAAATTTCATTCCATTGGGAAAACCAAACATTTGTAGCAATAAACACGCTATTTGTCACGTACTCCAGTTATGGCCTTCATTCCACTTAATGAATCTTACTCTTAGAATGAATAACAAAAAATTAATAATAGTTGTTTACTAAAAGCCTTATTGATTTCTGAATCAAGGTCAGTAATTAGTGACAACGTTCAACTACTGGGTTATTTATTAGATCAAACAGAACTGATTGAATTTCTAAAAAAAATCAAATCCAGTAGACAAAATTGTCATTAAAATAGCAAGTAATAGAATAAAATAAAAACAAAAAAAAATTAAAACTAACAAACAAGTAATTAAATTACTTAACATAGGTAACATTGATAAATATATTTCTGAGAGTAAATAGTGACTTTGCTTTACCATTGAATACTAAAATAAAAACAAAGGAAAACTTTGTCCAACGACGTCCTAGAATTAACTCAGCAATGACCAAATTACTAATCTTGTATATTGTTACGAAGATATAGTTTATCCTAAGTAAAAAAGAGCAAAAGCCAACAAAATTTGTAAAATTCAACAAATAATTGTTTTTCCTAGAATGCAAACTTAAGAGTTATAAGGAACTTACATTATTAAAAATTAAATCACAAACAGTCCAAAAAGGTCGATCAAAAGTACAAATGTATAAAGTTTTTATGGAGTTCAAAATAAATTGATATATTAAATGTGTTTGTTTGATGTGGGTGTAGTCTCGATTTGTCAAATGCCTGGAGTTTGATGATATCCTTACAGCCTTTTTTGATTTATTACAATAACATATTCCAAAATTTTTTTTTCTTCAAAATTCACCATAATCCACCCAAATAAAAAAACAACTGGACACAACAATACAAATAATTCTGTTTCAGATGTCAAGACAAGGATGAGTATATTTTTCAAGCGAATAGCAAAATATAGAAAGCTAAGACACAATAATGGATCAAATGTGTAGGTCAGTCTCCTCTATAAAATATTCAAAGTTCTCAACAACTTTAGGAATTTCCAAGCGAATATCTGCTAGCATTGACCCATCCTCAGATAAACATATTTACCTCCATTGATGACGATGTGGATGTTTAATCCACACTCACAGAGATATATTAACGTAATTAATCCTGTTTAAAAATGAATGTTACAGCAGGACAGGTGAAACATGACCTTCATTTTGGACAACATCATGTTTAAAAAACCAGATGTACATTAGGCATATTCTTTAAGAAAAGCCATAATAAATTATATATATATATATATATATATATATATATATATATATATATATATATATATATATATATATATATATATATATATATATATATATAACAATATTAGGTACAAAACTGATATAATATAACGTTTGGGCAGAAACGAATTTTGAGGAATCTTGGAGCGTTATAATTTTGAAAAGGTGGAAATTGAATTAATTGCGATTGCAAAGGTGAACATTTAATGGCTATTGAAAAGGGTAGTGTTGAAAGATCAAACTTAATCTTAGAACTAAATACAACATATAGATAAATTAATATTTAGTTGAACAGAGGGTTAATTAAGGCACATATCTTGGAGAGTGACAATGACGAGATTTGCAAAGAAAATCTTGTAAGGAACAAATTATTTTTAAAATCAAACTGGACTGTCCATATAAAAACTTGAATACTACAATTCAACAATATCAAATGATGATGTATAATTTACCACAGAGACCAACGACTTTATAATCAAGATAGCTTCGAATATTACTAATCTCTCGTAGTCATAAACAAAGCACTAATAAATATTTTTAAGATTATACACTATAATAATAAAGTAAATGTGCACAAAATAATGATGTAAGCTATAAAAACATTATAAGATACATCACGGAATTGAGTACCATTTACTGAACTGAGTAAAAATCAAAACGAAGAAATGCTGTTACATTTTATTTAATTGAGTAAAGATCAAAACGAGGAAATGCTGTTACATTTACTGAATTTGACAAGTAACATGCTGAGGATAAATGGACTGAAATAAGTACACAAGAGTATGCTGACAGAGAACTGATTCATGATGTTGGTGTAATACAAGATAGTTTCAGTTTATAAACAAATGATTGAAACCTGGGAGAGAAGGATCGAAATGGGTTTTGAAACGTTTACATTGGAAATAGATAGTTAACTAAATTAGATAAAGATTATCGCATTAAGTGGTAGAAGTGATATAGCTATAATCGATAAAGAAAACACAAAGGGTTTAAAAACTCTAAAAACTCTACTAAACAAGGAAAAGGACATGAACAATATGGTTTTGTTTGACAGAATTCAAATATCGAATGTACAAATCGTTAAAATTAATATATGAGGTAATTAAGCATACTGCTTTTCGATTTTTACAATGCTCTAATGTCCTGAGTGAGGAAAATCTCGACGATACAATACTGGTTTAGTATATTTTATAAAGTGTTGTATTATGGACACTTATGATGGTCTATTAGGAACATTTTAAAGCTAAATAGAGGATCTCAAATGGGTAATGATTTAATATTGAATTTATGAAACAAGGCTCGCAAAAGCTGGACGTTATTCAAAGTGTTTCATAAATTTAATATTAAATCGTTACCCATTTAAGAGTCTTTTTATCACATAGTTTTTATTTCAGTTTTTATTTAGATAGATAGAAGAACGAATAATATTGTTCATTCTGACAGACGATGTACCTTTCATTTTTTGTGCATAAAAATATAGTCCCAAACAAAGCTGAACTGGTAAAAGTAGATTGTACTGTTTTACAAACTATAAATCAAATAAAAAGCTTCCATCCGAATAAACAGAACATTTTATAACCACAAAATCATTTCTAAAAATAGAATGATTAATGCGATGTGATGCTGACACATTGTTTGATGCGGTACACAGTACAAAAGGCTGATAGTAGAGTACACGTGTAACCTATATGAACTAAACATTACATTGTTGTGATTTTCATGTGAAATATGATTACCGGATGCAAAAATTCCCATATTTACTAAAATACATTTGTGACCTGATATTTGCAGTGTTTGGTTTGGAAAAAAGACTGTACAGAAGACGTCAACAAATTTATTTTTGTGTCGGATTTATATTCCATGTATGACACGTAAAGATGCTGTGGATGGATAAAGAATTGTCACTTAGGAGACCCATTCATATCCAGATTATTTTGTGAACAGAGGTGAGTTTGTTTACTTGTTTAAGCTAGCATTTAAATTACACTTGTATAAGTAGTAAGGGAAAAGGCTGTTTCTAGCCCAACGACTTTTTTATCCCACAGGTAAGCTCTGTCATACAGAGGTGATGATGAATTTGTTTGAACAGAGCATGCGTGGAATGTTCACGAATTATTCTAAAGAAGGCAAGACAGATGGGTTTGTAATCAGTCTACAACAACATTTTCATCAGATAACATGTGTGCCGTGCAGGGTGGAAATTAAACTGCGCATTAGAACGTGGCGATTTCAGTTAACAAGACGAAAATTAAACTATGCATTAGGAAGGTAAGTTATATTATATCTTAAGTTTACATAAAATTTTAGTTAGAAAAGATAATGTCAAATTTTCAAACATTATTTTATAAGTTTAGAAAAAATTTCAGTTGGAAAAGATAATGTCAAGTATAGATCTATCATCATGACAATACCCAAGGGCAAATGTATCTACCCCATTTTCGCAATAGCGTTTGTCATCAAAATTACACAATCCACGTTTGATAATGACATCTGTTTCGAGTTTATGACGTTTCGCTCGAATTGCCATAGCTCTTATAAAACTAACACCGCCATCTAGCGCGTACTTGTAGTCATCAAATTTCATAAACTTTTTAACAAAATCACGAGGCAGACCTTTTGCTTTTTTCGTTATTTTATTATTATCTAACAATACGCATACATTTTACTACGTAATCCGATAAAGTATTTG